TTTTTTTCTTTCACTTTTTTTTTATTTATAGATTCTTGTACCGTCTTTATTTTGTTTGCCCTTCTTCTATTATATTTTATTCTTATTTTTATTTAAAAAAAAAAGAAAAAAAAAACGAAAAAAAACGTAACCGAATTAAAAGAAACCGCATTATACGGTCAAATAAACATTGACTAGCAGGAGGGAAATACAACATTTATCGCTGTGGCCAGCCCCAACTGTTTAGCAGCTAGGAAGTAGCCGGAAGAAGCAACCATAAAGTGAAAGGACGATTGTGAAAACTCTGCTCTATTGTGGATAGCCGAACGAAATTTGAGAAGCTGAATTCAAGGCAAAAATGGCAGTTTTGAATAGTCGCCACCGAAAAAAAAAAAGAGCAGGGAGACTAATATTAATGATAATTCAAAGTAATCACCGCCTACTGAAGCGGAAAATGTTCAATGCATAAAGAACGAAAAGCAAACAAAAGAACTGTTATTTTTTAGAAGAGAATTGTATAATAAGCGTTTTGACGAGAATCCAACAAAAGATGAAGGTTAATTGATCAAAATGAATTGAACACAAATGAGTTTAAGTTGTCAGTGTAAAAAAATTGAAGCCACCAATTAAAATTAGATAGATTTTTTGAAAGTGGCACACAAAATGGTTAAAAGATGGAAGTTCAGATGACAACCGTTCAGATAACGCTGACAGGAGGATACTGGTGCTCCAACTAAAGTTAAAAAAACGAAGTTTTTAGTCACAACAAACTTGGTGACACCTAGAAAGCGACAGTGTACATTGCCGTAAATAATTTTCCAATTCTTCAGTTAGTTAGCTTCCGTTCCTTCAGTAATGTTGTTGTAGCTGTTGTTGTTTTTCTTGTTGCTGCTGATGATGGCAGTGGTGACGGTGATGCTGTTGTTTCATCTTCAATTTTGAAATGTTAATTAACGCGATAAAATAATAGTTTTTTCCCTTTCTAAAGAGCAGGTGAAGAGTACCTGTTAGATGCAACAATTTCTAGTAGTAAAAGAAATTTTTTGAACGA